AAACGCTTGCAATATTTGACTGTTTAATTGTTTCGGAGTAAATTTACTTTCATTTATTGTTGAAACTTCCGTTTCTTTCCTGCAATACTTCGTAGGGACTAACTTAACGTTCGAGGGATATGCTAAAATAATACATAATAATAAAATAATAAATTCGAGGCGGGATTCCAGAATTTCTCTGAAAAAAAAACGATATCAAAGAAATTATCTTGCGTGTATTGAGTAAAAACAGTTTAAAATATTTCACATATTCAACAAAAAAAAAAAAAAGTTATTTCACATATATTATGGCGATAAGCGTAATATTCCAGAATATAGAATGTGCTTACAGTGAATTAGCAGATTAATTATTTTATGACTAATTAAAACTAGACGGAAACAACTTATTAATAAAACGCACGAAATTCACGATCGCAACTCTGCCAAGTCCCACGGTATCTCACGTCGTCCAATGTCGTTCCTCCGTGTCCTGCGGGAGAGTCTGATATTTTACTCATCAACTAATTGTACCTACAGTTCAGTTTAGATCGTGAAATAAAGAATGGAAAGAAATTCTTACGATCTAAACTGAGAACTGTAGGTTGCGTAGTTCTTAGCTTGATATCGTTTTAGTTTGTAAAACGATATCAGTTACCAAGACCCACCACGTGGAGGTGACTACGCACAGGTCTCATTATAATGTATTGCAAATCAGTACTTTTTCGTATATTTATCACACAGGTCGCAACTTGAATTGAATTTAATTAATTTGTTGGAGAGAGAAATGTTATTCGTAAACTAAGAACTAATTGTTTTATCAGTCTAATGACTAATTTAAGATGTTGAAGAAATATTCTTGTTTGACAAATTAATAGGACTTGATTATTTTCCAAATTATAGATGCAAAGAGAAATTCTGGAATTTTTGAATAACATTTAAATAGCAATAGTATTGTTAAACTAATATTATGTACGTACATGCAAAAATATGACGGTAACTGTTAAAGAATGTAACTATCAAAATATATTTTGTACGAGTACGATACGAGTCATGGCAGTTGAGGTATTCAAGTTCAAATAATCATGATGATAATGAAAATAATTAAATAATTGTAAAAGTAATTAAAATAATTTGTTAATGATGCGAAGCAGTTAATTAAAGTTTCTTAGAAATGTATTAGTTGCTCTAAATTACTATAAATTAAAGATTCTAAATTAATTAAAAATTCTAAATTGTACTTAGAAATGTTATAGAAGAGAATTTATTGTTTCATTGTGTACAAATAAATTATTAGAAATATTGGATAATGTTTAAAGAATTATAAAAGAGAATTTATTGTTTAATCGCTTCAAATTATTAGAAATATTATATAATGTTCAAACAATAAGAATAATAAGAAATAAGAGTTTAAATAATTAGAATATTCAGAAATATTATTTAAGAATTTGCTTCTTAAATTTGCGTCGATGCTTACGCAACGAAATTTCGATTTCTACTGACGTCTATTTCCGTACCGATCGAAATTTACCTGACCGCGTTAATCGACGAGAAATAGCTTATTAAAATTTCGTAGAAACGTATTACTGACTCGATCGCTACAAATGATCAACGAAAAATTTTAAATAATTGTTGGAAATGTTATTAAACTTGTTGTCTAATTATTACAAATAAATTATTAGAAATATTAGATAATATTTATAAACAATTGGAATATTCAGAAATATTATTTAAAACTCACTCCTAAATTTTGATCGTTGTGCACACGACGGAAGTTTAATTGGTAATGAGTCTCCGTACCGTTCAAGGTTAACATATATTTTTAATTGATACAAATAAATTATTAGAAATATTAGATAATATTTGAGCAATTAGAATATTCAGAAGTATTATTTAAAACTCACTCCTAAATGTAAATATACCTCGTCTGTGATTTTAGTATTGTTACCAACATTGCATGGCAGAATATTTCTACCTTAGCAATAGTTGATGTAATAGTGAAATTCTCTTCTTTTAAAGTTGTTTCATTGTAGTTCTTCTAGAGGGGTGTAAATACATACTTATGTGATAATTTTTGTTTTTATTGATGTATATTTTTGAAAGATACAGGCAAAATATATTTTTGAAAGGTATACAAAATTCGTAGATGTACATAAACGTTTATAGAACAAAATTTTTAAAAATTACCAGTGTAAAATTATGTTTACAATTCTTGAATATTAATCAAGAATTTTAAAAATAGAAAAGATTTTAGGTGTACGAAGTGATATTCATCGCAGTCATAATTTGTATAATTGTATCAAAGTTTATGAATAAAATTTTTCAGCAAAAAGATAATAAAATTTAATATCTCGACAAATTTCTCACTTAATAAAACTAAACATACAGACAAGTAAAATTATAAATATAAATATTCGTTACGTCATATTCTTCCACAGTGATAAGATACATAGGATGTCGTACAGTGATAAAAATATAAAATCAACTTTCTTTCGAAGCTTCGTTTTCGAAAGAATTGGATTTGAAAATTTGTTTAGTACATGCACAGACGGTGCACTAGCCAATGTGAAAAAAAGAAAAAGTGTTTAACATTTTCCCGTTTAAATCTTCGTTTACAAAAATTTTTCAAATTTTCATATATTATTTGACAAATGACATGAAAAATAAATAAGTGTTCAGAATAAATTTTCAACTTTTTAAACCTTTCCAAGAATTTTCCTTATTTTCTTATAAATGAATCGTTTTATGAAATATTGTACTAAATATGACTTATTTTCACGTTTAAAATAATAAAAATCTCGTTAAATGAAAGATACCGGAAATGGAATGAACTAGGCAAGTGAAAAATAATTTAAAATCTAACGAGATGTAAAATATAAATTGTATGTAAAAATTTTATAATATCAATTGACTCGAAATGTTGGACACATGAAGAATATTGAAGAACAAGAAGTAACTTATATATGTATATATATATATATAATATCTGTCCAACATGTCACTTTTTCCACCTTTTAAGAATCTAACCTATTATTTAATTATTATTTCGAGTCAACTGATATTATGAAATTTTTACATACAATTTATATGTTACATCTCGTTAGATTTTGAATTACTGTATATTTCACTTGCCTAGTTCATTCCATTTCCGCTTTCTTTCATTTAACGAGAATTATCAATCTGTAACCGTCATCAACCTAAAACGAAATAAATTAGAATTTTAACTAACACTATATTATATTATAATTAAATTGTTAAACTTTACGAAATGTATATTAAGTTCAGTTTGAATGCAATTTATTTCTCGAAGCCCGGTATTAGTCAATTTGTACGCGTCAAATACATTTCGACAGTTAGTCATATAGATAAACAAAACCGTATCATCGTTATGATTAACTATCCTGGTAAAATTGGAGATACTTACCGTCAAGTTTACAAATACTTGTAACAATTATCAGTAATAAGAAATTCCACGAATGCAAGTACTGTGTTCCAAACTTACGCTGCAGTAATTTCTATCATATGTTGTTGTTTCTTGTTCCTTTGTTTACTCGGTTACTTGTTCCTCGATTCCTTGTCCGTCGGTTCTTCACTCTCCCCCTTGGTTGTTTCACTCCCGGCTCCTCGTATCTCTGTTCTTTCTTCCTTGGTTGTTCCCAGCTCGGTTTTTTGTTTTTCAGTTGTCTGTGCCCCGTCGTTTTCTAACTCGATCCTTTCTGCCTTGCTACTTTCTATCTTGGTTCCTCGTTCTTCAGTTCTCTCTTCCTCGAGTTCAGCGTTTACTGCGCTTACGTTCCTCTTTTCCTCGTGTTCGACGCTTACTATTTCTATGTTTCTTTCTTTCCCGTTTCCGTCGTTTACTACTATTTCTGCGTCTGCTATTCCATCGCCGTGAACTTCATCCCGTCTTCCGTTTTCTTCGTCTCTTGGTAGTCCATGCTCTACTTCTATGCACTGTCTTTCTTTGGTCGGAGTACTCACGACCTTACCTTCTGTTAGAAGAGCTCGTATTTCCTGGTAATTTTTCCCTTCGGTCTCCGGAACGAAGGAATACACCATGACAAACGAGATCAAGGAACAAAACATGAAGATGGTATACGTTACCCACAGTCCAGCATTATCGTTGATAACTTGGTACAGTTTTAACACAGTGAACCCCAATATACCATCAAACATCATGACGATGGCTCCGGCGACACTTTTTGCTTCCATGGGAAACAATTCGCCTAGGAGAGCGTTAGTTAACGTGCCCAAACCAAATTGATACAATAATTGATAACAAATTACGTCAATAAAGGCCAGATTGTCGATGCCCATGTCGTTGAGTTTCCTGAAGAAACCCAAGTAACACGAGAGGACACTCAATGTAAGCCACAATCCAAACGTGGATGTTATGAGGAACTTTCGTCTTCCAACAGTTTCCACTGACACTGTCGTTAGAATGCTAAATGATAATCTAAGCATCAAAACTGAAGTCGACGTTGCATATGGACCAGGAAATAATATTTTCGTGAGGAGCGATTCCACATACTGCATGGTGCAGAAGTTCCCGCTGAGTTGCTGCGCCGTGATTAACCCAATGACAATGCACAGAGCTCTTCTGTTGCTGGGTTGTTTCATCAGTCGAATCTTGTCCAACCACGATTGCCTATTCATGTCCGCGCTGCGGTTATTCGGTTTAAACGAATCGTCTCTGCCGAGTATTTTGCAAATGTGCTTCATTTCCATCCTCAGTTGGTTGCGTTTGGTGGTTCCTTTGAAGTACGATATCGACCTGTACGCTTCCTTTCTTCGGCCGACTGCCACCAGATAATAGGGACTTTCGGGGAACCATACGAATATTGCGACGAATATCATTGGCAGTATTAAAAAAACGCATGCCAACGTGGCGTAGGATACGAAGAATCCTATGAGGCAAGTAAAAACCCATCCGGTTAACACGTTCACGGCGGTCAAACAGCCCAGAGTGCCTCTGATTTTCGTGTCGGCCACTTCCGAGACGTACATCGGACTCGCTGTGTAGGCGATGCCAACGCCTATGCCGAGAATCACGCGAGAAACGTACAGGATTTCGACATTGGTTGCCAGCAGAACGAATGACCAACCTAGGATGAAAAATCCACTGCACCCTAGTAGGCAGAATCTACGGCCGTAACGATCAGCGATAATGGCACCCATAAATGCACCTATCGTTGAACCGATTAATGTCAGAGATACAAGCCAGGAACCTTCGTCGTCGGTTAATTTCAACGGCATATTATCTCCGGAGGTTAAACCGGGAAGAGAGATAGTGATCCATCCGTAGACTGTGCCTACCAATATCATGGAAATAGTTGCTGGAATGAAAAAGAAGAAGTTTATACGTAAGTGTTCAGTACATATATATTATCGGTATATTATCGACCGAAAAATGTTTACTCGTTCCTTGGATT